CTGCGGCTCCGTGGGTGGCGAGAGCAGCTGAACTGGGAAAGGGGCGCCGACCCAGCCCGCGGTGGACATCGCGTTGACGGGGCGACGTCACCGCTAGGGCACGGACGCTCACTCTGTTGTCCGGGTCTGTTCAGATCCCCGAGCCGGGGGACGTGGAGGGTGGGAGGTGAACCCCAGATCCATGGTGTTAGTGGAGAAGCACCGGAACTGGGGGTGTCCCCATCGGGCGAGGTGGGGAGGGAGGTGGGGAATTGGCTCAGGGAGCGCCGCGGACCGACCGGGATATTTGGGGGGTGAGGGGGCGGGGCGGGTGGCCTCTGAGAAGGACCGCCCTGGGCACAGGGGAGGTTTTGTGTAAAGGTCAGCTCTGGCCGAGGAGATCTTGACCCTGTCCCTGTTCTCCGTGTGCTGCGTGGCCGTTCCCCCATCCATCCAGTCGTCGGCATCGCCCTGTCCAAGCCTTAGGCCCCCTGCCCTCAGGGTCAGCCCAGCGTCTGCAGAGAATTGCTGAGATGCCTCCTCTGCGCCGGCCCCAGGCCCAGCCCTCACTCCTGGTCCAATGGGCACCGGACAGTGACTGCCCTGGATGGGTCAGGGCTGGGGGGGCGGGGGGGCGCAGAGGCAGAGGAGCCAGGGCCCTTAGGACCCAAGTGGGGGGAGGGGAGTGCTCCCGACCCAGCCTGAAGGGTCAAAGGTCTTCCTAACTTTGGAAGGATTTGTGGGCGGGGCCTGGGAAGAGGGTCCACTTATAAGAAGAGGCTATTTGGCCCCGGGCCTGAAGGAGTGGCCTTTCTCCGGGAGAAGGGCTGTGGGTCTTCTTTGGGGTCCCCTGGCCCGGGACCCTCAGCTGATGGACTATAACGCAAACCCCTGAGGGCAGGCTCTAGACCAGTGATGGTGAACCTATGACACGCGTGTCAGAGGTGACACGCAAACTCATTTTTTTAGTTGATTTTTCTTTGTTAAATGGCATTTAAATATATAAAATAAATATCAAAAATATAAGCTCTCTCTGTCTCTCTCCCCCTTCCTCTCTGTAAAAAATCAATAAAATATATTTTAAAAAAATATATATATGTCTTTGTTTTACTCTGGTTGCAAATATCAAAAAATTTCCATATGTGAACGGCACCAGAGTTAAGTTGGGGTTTTTCAAAATGCTGACACGCCGAGCTCAAAAGGTTCGCCATCACTGCCCTAGACTGTTTCCTCACAGCCAGTGGTTAATAACTGGCCTTCAGGTTGGAATGACTCCCGGCCCCCCCACCAATCGGGGTACGACTGTGGGAGAGTGACGCAACTTCCCCCTCCCTCCAATGGGGAGATAACACTGGGCTTCACCAAATCAATCACCTTGTTTTAAAGAGCTATAAAGAGTTAAGCATATAATTTATATAATTAAAAATATATAAGGTAGATTATATCAAGGGGCCCCAAAACAAGACAGACTTGAAACATGCTGCCGCATCAAATGACACTTTGGTCTCGGTTACAGAGAATACAATCGATGACACAAGAATTGACCAGCTCATACTATTCCAAACCTCGGTAACTTGAAGGGATTTTAATACTGAACTTATTAGCAGCAGATCAGAATTTTAATTCCTGGGTTCAAACTCTGAAGCATCAGAAATGGGGTGATTAATTGTGGGCACCCTTTACTACTCACCTCTCCGTGCCAGGCCAGCTGCTACCTGCTGCTACGTCTGACTCGGGTTATCATGCAGGGAGACCCTCTTGCTTTAGGGGACGCCTCGGGAAGGAAGGCTGTGACCTCACCGTCCCTCCCAGACACACACCCCGCTTTCCTGAGGGGCACCGTTATATTCTTCCTTTATTGGCTATCCTGGTATAATACAAATCTGCAAGTTTAGATACAAAAAAATCTGGAAATAAAAGATAGAAAAGTACCCGCCAGGCACCCCTCCCCCTTCCTCTGGGCCCCTCCCCCAGGGGGCACCAACGTGAGGTAACTGAGCATCTCCTTGCCCTCCCCCCAAACTCACTTCCTGGGCCCCCAACTCGGCCCTGGCCCCCAAGAGACCTTGGTCCAAGGAAGATGTGGGCCGAGTGGGGGAGGGGCTAACGGTGAGCACAGCATTGGCAGTGAACGCAGCAGGTGGGCAGAGGGGAAGCCCTTTGCTTGTGCTGTGTGTGTGTGTGTGTGTGTGGGGGGGGGCAACCATGTGGGGCCCAGGAGAGCCCCTAAATGGACATTCCTCCCCGAGCCCATCCAACAATGGAAGGTGGAAGGTCAACAACAGAAACTGGAAACTGCAGCTTGAACCGAGGGCGCTCCCTGGCACTACAGCCACCCCCGTGCCTGGGGTGGGGGAAGGAGCATTGCCAGGCTGGTCTGTCCCTGAATTCCAGCCTGTGGAAACCTGGGCGTCACAATGTCGGTTCTATAGTGGTTGTGGGGGGGTCGAGAGGAGGAGTTAGAGGGATATTGAGGGGCGAAGCCCCAGGGAGCAAGATGAGGGGAGAAGTGGGCCTCAACTTGTAGGTGTGGGGCCTGGAGATCATGGGGTGGCAGGGCGGCTGGGGCTACAGTTCAATCTCAAAGGTCTTTTGCAGGTCGCCCGAGAAGGGGTTAGAAGGCTTTTCTACGGCGGGTTTGCCTTCTAATGCTGCCCACTGGGCCTCAAAGGGGTCCAACTCAGGGGCTGGGGTGGGTGTTGGCTCTGGGGGCCAGGGAGCCCCATTGGGGCGTGGCGGGGCCTGGCTCCCAGGGGCACTGGGCACAGCAGGTGGGGGGAAGGCTCCAGCTTTCCCAAGCAGGGCGGTGGGCTGTGGCTGGAGCTGGGCAGCTGAGCAGAAGGCGTTGGCCACCATCTGCGAAGGTGTGATGCCCACCACGGGCACGCGGGGCATGGGCGGGTAGCCCAAGCCTGGGTAGGTGGGCACAAAAGGGGGCTGCATGTGTGGGGGTGGCAGAAACAGGGCCACCTGGGCAGGTGTGGCATCGAAGGGCCCCACGGGGGCGGGGAAGGGCTGCAGGGGAGGGGGTGCGGCGGGCACCGTGGACACCTGCTGCTGCTGCTGCTGCTGCACTTTGGCCGCCTGCGACACCTCTTCCAGCCACCGCTCGGCCTCCGAAGGGGTCCGCCTGTGCCCGGGCTGGAAGGCGGCTGCCGGGGACACCGAGGGCTCGCCCCAGGCAGAAGTCCCTGGGCAGAGGAGAGGGCAGGTGAGGGCAAGGGCTGCGTCAGAAGGAACCCGAGGCTGGGGTCAGACTCTGAACTAGGCCTGAATCCATCCTGGACCACACGGCAGTTCTGCAGTGCTAAGGACACATAGTCTGGGATTCTAAGGCCCCAGGATGGGAAACACACAGGCAGGACTGACCATCAGCCACCTGCTATTAACTCTGTTTAATAGCGCCCTTGGCTCTGATACTCAGGATGTTTTGTTTTAGGAGGCGAAGATTCTAAGGCTCCATAGATCTTCCTCATTCTAACGTGATGAGTAAGGTTCCATGGTTTTAAGTTTCTGTTTTCTAAGAGCTTTAAATTTACATTGTTTGCAAGTCTAAGGTGCTCTCCTGGTTCCACCACACGCCCGAGGTGAGGCGATTCCACTGCGCTGTCTGAGAGCGCTCTCTAAAGCTGTGAGACTCCAGGGTCGTGGCTCCAAGTCGGTTAGATTCCAGTATCCTGTGAGGCTACGGCTGGAGGTTTCTGACTTTCATTATTCTAAGACAGGAAGTCTTTTTAAAAATGTATGTTTTTATTGATTTTTTAGATATAGAGGAAGGGAGAGGGAGACAGAAACATCGATGAGAAACATCAATCGGCTGCCTCCTGCACGTCCCCTACTGGGGATTGAGCCTGCAATCGGGGCATGTGCCCTGACCAGGACTCAACTGGAGGCCTCTTGGTGCACGGACGATGTTTAATCCACTGAGCCACGCCGGCCAGGCTAAGACAGGAAGGTTTAAAAATGATCCCATGGCCCAGCTGGTGTTGCTCAGTGGTTGAGTGTTGCCCTGTGAAGCAGGTCACGGTTAGATTTCCAGTCAGGGCACATGCCCCGGGTGTGGGCTCGATCCCGGTAGGGAGCATGCAGGAGGCAGCCAATCAATGATTCTCTCTCATCATTGATGTTTCTACCTCTCTCCCTTTCCCTTCCTCTCTGAAATAAAAACATATTTAAAAATAAAAGGAAAATAACAATGATCCCATGGGGCCCTGGTCGGGTAGCTCAGCTGGTTGGAGCATCGTCCCATACACCAAAAGGTGGTGGTTCGATTCCTGGTCAGGGCACATACCTAGGTTGCAGGTTCAACCCCTGGTAGGAGCATGTACGGAAGGCAAGCGGTTGATGTTTCTCTCTCTCTCTCTCCTTCCTCTCTCAAATCAATAAAAACATATCCTTGGGTGAGGATTAAAAAAACAAAGTGATTCCTTGGTTCTAAGGTGCTCCCAGAGCTCTAAGATGACCCACGGTCCTGAGCCGGTGGGATTCCAAGATCCCTGGAGTCCCTGCGGTGACCCTGAGTGGGGCAGGGGGACGCAGGGGGCGCCCCAGGCAGGGCTGGGCTCACCTGTGGAGGCAGGCGGCGGCCCTGGTGCTGGCGCTCCAGCACTGGCAAAAGACGAGCTGATCTGTGTGCACAGAGCACTGATGCTGTCGCTGTCGCTGGCCCCAGGCGGCTCCATCTCAGGCACTGGGAGGTCAGGGAGAGGCGGAGGTCAGTGATCGTCCCAGACCCTGTTCTTGACCCCTTTGCTCTCAGGTGCTCCTCCCACAAGGTGTGTTGGGTCGGTGGTAACTAAGTAACTAAGTGGCCAGGGTCACAAAAATGATAACTCTGTGCATGTGTGTGTGTGTGTGTGTGTGTGTGTGTGTGACATCTGGGTGGTGCAAGGAGTGTGTGACACTGGGGTACTGATAGTCTGGACTGGACCCACAAGCCAGGTTGGAGCCAGAACTGAGGCAGCGTCCTGTAAAACCCCTGAGAGACCTCTCCTCTGCCCCAGGTGTGCTGTTCCCGGAACAGGTCGCCGCCTGGCCCAGGCAAGCATGTAAGTGGTTTCCCCTTACCTGGGGCAGGTCACACCCCGCACCCTTCCATCCTGCCCTGTCCCGTATAACCTCTGAGCGCCTGCCCTGTGGCACAGAGGTTATTCGTGTCGTCTGGCCTCTGTCCACGATGTGCCTCGTAAGTAAATTCCCTTAATCAACTCCTGGTGCAGTGATGGAGTCATCAGCCTCTTTCTCCGGTCTCTTGGCCCTGGGACATTTTCCCAGCAGTTGGATGGCAGTCACAGGGGCCCCAAATCAAGGGGGGACCTCAAGGAGGACCTGCCTATAGCTACAAACCAGAAGAAATATTTAAACTGTTTAAGAACAGATAGTGCCCAGCCAGCATGGCACAGTGGCTGAGCATCAACCTATGAACCATGATGTCACAGTTCAATTCCAGGTCACACGTGCCCAGATTGCAGGCTTGAGCCCCAATAGGGGGCGTGCAGGAGGCAGCCAATCAATGATTCTGTCTCATTGATGTTTCTGTCCCTCCCTCTCCCTTCCTCTCTGAAATCAATACTATTATGTTTTTAAAAATAAAAACATATATTAATTTAAAAAATATTTTTAACCACATAGATGGCAAGAGCATTGACCAGTCAGAATGGATGTGGGCCACACTGTTTTTCACTGGCTGGGGATCACTTGTCCTGCTTTGGGTGGCAAAATGGGGCCCTGTCCACCCTGGCCTATAACACGGATCACGAGGGCAGAGACACAGCTGTGCCAGGGAGACAGTGAGCAGATGTGGGGCCTCAAGAGCACTTGAGATGAGCAAAGGGACGATCTGAATAAACAGCGGTGTGGGGCGACAAGAGCCTGTGACAGCTCAGCAACAGGGGTGATGCTCCAATGAGCATGAGGAAGAAACCAACTGGAGGAGTCAGGGGGGGGGGGGGGGGGGGGGGGGGGGAGGGTATATGGCTTCCGGGTCATTTACATGAGGAGTGTGTGTGTTAGTCCGAATGAGCATGTAGCCTCAGAGGATGTGGCATCTGAGTGCGACTGGAATCCAGTGTGTGGTGACCTGACTGTGATTCCCAAGTGTGCGCCACTCTGCCTGCATGATGTATGGACATGTTTGCAAGCATGCATGAATCTGCATGTGTGACTCCAAGTGTGCATGAATGGGGGTGTACCTGCAACTTCCAATTCGGTGTGACTTTGGTGTGCACTTGACGAAGTGCGCGACTGACTGGAACATCTGTGTGAGTTGGTGAAATGTCTGTGTGGCATGTCACGTCTAAGCAAATGAGCAATTGGCTACAGGAGTGTGAGGCTTTCAAATAAAGCCTGGGGAGCCTGCCCCCTCCAGGGAGCACGTGTGACAGCCTGGGGGTGAGCTTAATGTCAGGCTGTAAGAGGACAGTAGAAAAGGGATGTTGCCGGACACGGCGGAGCAAATGCCAGTCATTCTCAACAAGCCCTGCATCTGCCCAGCCGTCACCTTCTGGAGTGGCCCAGCCTCCGGGATACCCGTCAACACCTCCCACGCCAGTCCCCAGGCCGTGAGGGCAGGTGTCCCGGTGAGGTGTCTGGAGGCAGGGGAGCAGGCCAGACCACATGACTTCACCGGCAGCTGGAGGAAAGGCCGCCCTCCCGCCTGCCTCCCTTGCGCAAAACGTGGTACCACACCACCTCTCCTCTCCCTTTCTCACAGCAGCTGTTGCCTTGTTTTTTCTTTAAATATATTTTTATTGATTTCAGAGAAGGGAAGGGAGAGGGAGAGCAATAGAACCATCAATGATGAGAGAATCATTGATCAGCTGCCTCCTGCATGCCCCCGACTGGGGATTGAGCCCATAACCTGGGCATGTGCTCTGACAAGGTTTGAACCATGACCTCCTGGTTCACTGGTCGACGCTGTTGCCTTGTTTTTTCTTTAAATATATTTTTATTGATTTCAGAGAAGGGAAGGGAGAGGGAGAGCAATAGAACCATCAATGATGAGAGAATCATTGATCAGCTGCCTCCTGCATGCCCCCGACTGGGGATTGAGCCCATAACCTGGGCATGTGCCCTGACCAGGTTCGAACCATGACCTCCTGGTTCACTGGTCAACATTCAACCACTGAGCCACACCCGCTGGGCCAGACTGCTTTACATCATGACATATACCATCTTTCTCCTTTCCTGGGCACGTCGCAGACATTAGTAATCAAACACAATGCTTTCCCCTCACCTGGCTCTGGCCTCTACACGCCAAATGCTGGAAGACAGGACTGATCTTTGTGACTCCATCTTCCCTCCAAGCAAAATAGGACATTTAAACGGCCTCACTCCTAGCATCACCCACGGAAGACATTGCTAATCAACGATGGTGGGTGCTGCCCTGGCCCAGTCCTTTGCCCTCAAGTGACATCACAAAGCCCCCACCATGCTCCCTGACCCTGCGATTCCCACGCTCCCTGGTGCCCTCCATTTCCCTTTCCTCTGGCCAAATTCCGGCCGTCTCTCCGTGGGTGAAAACATAGCACTCCTTTTGCTCTCCCTTCCTCCCTTGCCCACAGCAGACTCTGCTAATTATTCATGTGGTGTGCCACCTTCTCCTTTTTCTTGCTCACGCAGACATTGGAAGGAGCTCAGGATATAAGCCATCACTCTATCCTCCCTGCCCCAGGCAGGCATTGCTAACCATCACAGTCCTCTGTGACTCAGCCTGAATTCTTCACGCGGCCAGATCTCATGGCTTTACTGGCAAAGGCCGGTGCCTCAGTCTCCTCCCGAGCAAAATCCTGGCACTGGTGCAGCTGCCCTCCTCCCCTTGTCCACAGCACTTTGCTAATCAGTCATGTAGGCCCCCTCTTGCATTTCCCTAACCACGGCAGACATAGCTAATTGATCATGATTTGTGCCACCTTTCTTTTATCCTTTGTCCATAGCAGACACTGCTAATGGATCATGATTTCTACTCTAGCTCCTGGCAGGAACTGCTAATTGATCACAAGGTGTTCCACCTCTCAGCTGTGTGCACGGCAGACAGTGCTACTCAATCGTGGCCACCCCCTGTTCTCTATCTCCTGCGCAGACAGTGGTATTGATCCCGGGCTCACCTGTGCTCTTCACCTGGAAGTCAGTGCGGCGCTGCAGCGTGGACGGCAGCTCATTCAGCCTCAGGCTCAGCTGCCGTTTGAAAGGCGAGTTCTTCTGGCTGAGCGCGGGGAACCCACGGAAGGAGCCCTGGCGAACCAGCTGCTCCAGGGGGGCATGGCGACGGGGGATGGCAGCCGCCGTGGTGCCTGCAGCCACGGGGGTGCCTGCCTCACCCTTCTCACCAGGGGATGTGGTGGCTGGTGTCGGGGACACGCGCCCAGGCTGGGCAGGGCCGGGAGCCGCAGTGGGGGCAGCTGCCGCCTCTGTTGGAGACATGGGAGATGGAGGTCAGATACCTCACCCTGGCATGGGAGGTCTCCCCACCTGGCCCCCTTGGTCCTTCCCCACGGCTGCCTTCCTCACCCAGTGTTTCCTGCCCTCAAGACAGACTGGTCAGAGCCGTGAATGCCCCTCACCCCCACCTAAGCCAGGACTGCTTTCCCCATGAAGCCACTGAGGAATTTTACCCCAACTTAACCTGTGTCTTGCTAGCTTTCTGCCACCGATCTCTTTCCTCTGCTGTTCCCCCCGTTTCCCCTTTTGAGCCCTTCTATCTATCTCCTTTTCTGACTAATGTAATGGACACTTGCTTGGTGCATGACCAATGAATCAGGCCTTGTTCCAAGTGCCTGGCAATTACTAACTCATTCAATCTTCAAAACCACCCCTTGAGGTCAATACTACCAGTGTCCCCATTTTACAGAGGTGAAAACTGAGGCCCAGCAATGGTAAGTGACTTGCCCAAGCCACAGTACTAGCAAGAGGCAGGCCGACTCTGGAGTTGGTGGTCCCTTTACCCTAACCTGTCTCTCTCTCTGGCTTGGTCTCCCCACATCATGCTGTCTTCCGCTATCATTCTGTCTGTTCGTCTCTCCGTCTCTGTACCTCCCACCATTCTTCCCACCTCAACTACCTCCTCCCTCCCTCCAGTTGCTACCCATCCTTCTAGACCCAGCTTGACACCCTTCCTCTGGGGAGCTTTCCAGATCTCTCCAGCCCTTCAGCCTGGTCTCCCTCCACTCTGGGACTACCCAAGGCCTGCTCTTCCAGGGCAGGGTCCCCTCACCCCTGCCAACACACACACACACACCCTCCAATCAGGGCCTCACCCAAGCTGTAGCCTGAATGCCAGGGAGCTTAAACTCAAGCCAGAGTGGGCAGGGAGGTCACCGGCATTTCTTCTCCCATCTTCCGGGTTGAGGCCGTGAGGCTCTCACCCAGGCCTGGCCAGGTGACAGCCTGGGACGGGTTGGAACCAGGAACCACCTCTACCCCCCAAACCCCCTTTAGGGACCTTAGAAAGTCCCTCTCCCACCCCCGCTTCTCTGGGCTCCAGCTTCTGCACTATATGCCCTCACCCCCACCCCCCCGGGCCTCCTGAGAGGGTCAGCTGAGGCAGTATATGTTCCATGCTTTTCCTTCTTCTCTGAAATCAATGAAAATAATTTTTTTAAAAAAAGAATGTTATTGATAAAGCAATAAGAATTAGTTAAAAATTTTGCTTTCCTAACTTTTTTGTTAGAACTATTTTAAACTTATAGAAAAGATGTTTTAATGGAACAATGAGTGTGCATGTTTCTTATCTTTTTAAAAAATATATGTTTTTATTGATATTTAGATAGAGAAAGGGAGAGGAGGTAGAAACATGGATGAGAGAGAAACTTCTATCGGCTGTCTCCTGCACACCCCCTACTGTGTATCGAGTCCACAACCCGGGCATGTGCCCTGACCGGGAACTGAACCAGTGACCTCTTGGTGCACGGGACAATGCTCAATCCACTGACCCACACCAGCCGGGCAACGTGCAGGTTCTCTTCACCTAAGGTCCCCAGTGTTAACATGTTATCGTATGTGCTCTCTCCCTCCGTCTATAATTTTCCCTACCATTTAAGAGTAACTTACAGTGTGGCCAGCATGGCTCAGTGGTTGAGCCTTGACCTATGAACCAGGAAGTCATGGTTCAATTCCCGATCAGGGCACATGCCTGGGTTGTGGGCCGATCCCCAGCAAGAGGCAGCCAATCAATGGTTCTCTCTCATCATTGATGTTTTTATTTCTCTCTCCCTCTCCCTTCCTCTCTGAAATCAATACAGATATATTTTTTAAAAATAAAGAGAAATTCTAAAAAAACAAAAAACAAAAAAGTAACTTTCAGACAACTTAACCCCAAGCCTTCAGCATGTACCGCCAAAAAACAGTTTCCTACACAGCTGCGGTATAATGTCTCACGTGGGGAACTGGACGTGAGTACAATACTGTTAGCCAGTCTACAGTCCGTAGTCCATTTTCCCCAACTGTCCAGATCATGTCCTTTATAGATGTTCTTTTTTACGTATGTTCAGGACCACACACTGCATTTAAAAATACTTGTCAAATCTCTTTAGTCTCCTTTAATCTGGAACAGTTCCCAATGGGAAATTCTTTGTCAATTTTAAGCAGTGTTTTCAAAAAATCTTAAAACTAGAATCCGCATAAAAGAAAAATTAAGTCACATTGTGACTGAGCATATAATACACTTATGTTGGAAAATTTTTTTTTTTACAATTGACAAAGGTATGGCCAGTCACCTAGAATGTTAGTCTATCAGATGTTTATCAAACTTTCCTGATGGCAACCAGAGTAAGAAATACCTTTACATGCTAACCTATTCCACGTACAAACATACACAAAATGAGATAAAAACATCAGTAAGCTATACTTATCCTTACTACATTTGATCACTCTGTATTTTCTATCTCATTTTTTGGTACGCACTTTGAAAAGCCTGGGCACCTCCCTGAGTTGGCCGGCAATAGCGCCATTTGTGACCTTGGCTGGGACCTGCGGCCCGCAGAATATTGCCCGAAGGACTCTGACTAAATGAGCTTTATAAACTGTCACCAAACTCTGTGGTCGGGGCTCTGCTATGTGAACTGTGGAGTCCCTGCACCGCCGCGGCTCTCCCTGCAAACCGGACCCGCAGCCTCCGGGCCCCACTCCGTGCCCTGCCGTCTGGGCAGACCCACCTTTCTTTTTGTCCGGGGCTTCTCGGTCAGTGGGCCGCCCGCCTCCGGACAGGCGGAAGGAGCCCTCGCGGGCAAAGCTGGTGCGGCTGGCATCGAAGGTAGCCGTCACCCCACACTCCTTCTCCCGCCGCTGCTTCCGCTCCAGGCAGGCAGCAAAAGCACAGCCCACAGCGTGGCTCAGCCTCTCGCCCTGTGGGGAGAGGGAGGGGCCAGGGTTGGAGATGCTGAGCTGTGCACACGGGACACCAGGAGCCCTGGGTCCCAGCTCCCAGGTGCTGGGTGACCCCGGACAATCCCTCTGCCGCTCGGACCTCAGTGGACACCTGCACCGAGGGACACAAATGACAGCCCTGAGTGAAAACAGAAAGACAGCAACAGGGCTCAAGACTGGAGATTCCTCAAAAAATTAAAATCAGAGCTGTCATACGACCCAGCAATTCCACTTCTGGCTATTTATCCAGAGAAAACAAACAAACAAAACAGAAACAGACCACAGATATATAGAACAAGCTGATGATTGTCAAAGGGGAGGGGTGGGGGTGGGAATAAAAAAGGAGTGCAATACTGTAGACCTCCATTTATATGAAGGTCTAAAATAGGCAACACTAATCCACGGTGAAAAAAGTCAGAGCAGTGGCTCTTTCTTTGGGGGGTGAGGGTGGGGATGGACTGGGAAGGGCAGGGGTATGGGTTGGGGTGGTTGTCATGCTCTAGAACTTCACAGGGGTTTGGGTTCCACAGGTGTATGCAGTGGTCAAAACTCAGCAAAAGTATACCTAAGGCTTATGGTCAGCATGTGTTTTTCCATGGGGAAAATGGGACAACCACGAGGCTTATATAGTCCCAAAAGCTATGGCCAGTTCAAAGGGTTCAATCCAGTCTTCAGGGTCAACGATTCAAGCTAATGACCCGAATCAACCGAGGCCTACCTGGAAAGAAGTGAAACGACAACTAGAAAAGAAAACGAAAGGCTCCAAGGAATTAACTAAATTTGAAGAAAAAAATGAATGAGAACTGAAAGAAAGATCAAGAAAAAGACCAGGGAGAGATAATTAAGTGGGAATGGGAGTTCAGCCAAAAGAAGACAGAGCAAGAAAAAAGGAAAGAAGAAATCTTCTTCAAGCTCTGATTGTTCCAGCAGTTCTCCAGATTCTGAAGAAGTGACTTTACAAAAAGAAAAAGAGCAAGCATTCACATTAATTACAGAAAGTTCTATGTTAGAGAGTGAATCAGACGGAAGGGAGAGTTTAAAAAAATAAAGAAGTCAAAAGATGCAGCTGAGCCCTGGCAGTGTGGCTTGGCTGGCTGGGCACTGGCCCCTGCACTGGAGGGTGGCTGGTTTGATCTCCAGTGGGGTTGTTCAGGAGGTACCCGATCAATGTTTCTCTCTCTCCCCGCCTCTCTAAAAATAAATCAATAAAAAATCTTTTAAAAAAAAGAAGAGATGCAACAGAGAAAGGAAAGGACATACAAGTTCAAGGACTTGGCAAATAGAGAAAGATGTATCCTGACGGTAAACCTTTATCATCGGAGTCCTTATCAGAATCAGATAATATTGAGGAGGTATCAGCAAAAAAGAAGAGAAGGCCCTAGTTGGTTTGGCTCAGTAGACAGAGTTTCAGCCTGTGGATTGAAGGGTCCCAGGTTTGATTTAGGTCAAGGGCACGTACCTTGGTTGCGGGCTCTATCCCTGGCACAAGATGTATCCTGACGGTAAACCTTTATCATCGGAGTCCTTATCAGAATCAGATAATATTGAGGAGGTATCAGCAAAAAAGAAGAGAAGGCCCTAGTTGGTTTGGCTCAGTAGACAGAGTTTCAGCCTGTGGATTGAAGGGTCCCAGGTTTGATTTAGGTCAAGGGCACGTACCTTGGTTGCAGGCTTTATCCCTGGCTCTGGTGGGGGCACATGTGGGAGGCAACCAATCAATGTTTCTTTCTGTCTCTCCCTCTCCCTTCCATTCTCTCTAAAAACTAATGGAAAAATATCCTCAGGTGAGGATTAACAAAAAAGAAAAGAAAAGCGGTGAAGACAGAAAAAGCAAAAGAGAGAGAGAGAAGCACAGTAAGAAAAAGAAGGCTGATAGTTCAAGTCCTGACTCATTATAATAACATTAAGAAAAATCAGGATTCCGACTGCATATTAGAAAACAGCCCCTGAAAAAATGGTAGGAGCTACCCTGACACTCTCCCAGGACCAAAGTGGAAGTACAACTAAAATACAGAAAAACCACCCTGAAACATCAACTGAAGACTAGCGGAGGGAACCCTAATAACCAAGGGTAGGAAGTGGAGACCGCATAGAGACTGGTAGGACGTGCAGAGATGCCACAGGGTCCCACAGACAGCAGACAGGCTCCCACAGACAGCAGCTAAATCAGTGGTTCTCAACCTGTGGGTCGCGACCCCTTTGGCGTCAAAAGATCCTTTCAGAGGGGTCACCTAAGACCATCGGAAAACACATATATAATTACATATTGTTTTTGTGATTAATCACTATGCTTTAATTATGTTCAATTTGTAACAATGAAAATACTTCCTGCATATCAGATATTTACATTACGATTCATAACAGTAGCAAAATTACAGTTATGAAGTAGCAACGAAAATAATTTTATGGTTGGGGGTCACCACAACATGAGGAATTGTATTAAAGGGTCACGGTATTAGGAAGGTTGAGAACCACTGAGCTAAAGGGTGGGATATCTCAGCTGTGGGAAATTTCCACTGAGAACTCTGGGTCTAAACCCCAAGCTGGGCTCACCACCCCAGAGCACCAGAACTGAGAAAGGTGCACACAGAACATCTGGCTGTGAAAACCAGTAGGGTTGCTGTCTGCCAGCCAGAGACAGCTAGAAATGCAGGCACCCTCTTAAAGGGGCAACACACAAAATTTCGTGTGCAGCCACTCACTTTGGGCTGGGGCAGAGGGAGGGCAGAGTGGACTGGATCTGTGTGAGGAGAGTCCAGGGTTGGAGTCTCTGGGGTTGGAGCTCAGAGCACAACCCCGATTTCATGTACTGAGTCATTCCCTCATACTGCAGAGGACAGCTTTCTCCACAGGTCTTACCTATACAAGTTTTTGCTTGGGGTGAAGACAATTGCCCCACCATGTTGGAAGACATCGTGCCCCACCCTGTGGTCTGTAGCTTGAGGCAAATCAATACTGAATGTCAACGGGACTGCAGGCAGAGGAAGACCTCTGGAGGCTTTGACTCTGCCTGATCTTCTGGTCCCGGGACTAGGAAAAGGAGATCCCGGTGTAGAATCTTGTTCCTTTCCAAAAACACCCAGCCCCAGCAGAGGGAGCCATAGCTGTGGATTGCTGATAGCCCCAAACAGGGTACTCAGGGACAGTCAGAAACAGTGTCTGACATTATCCTGCACCAGAGATCATAGCAGGTCTACCTAATATAGACAAAAACCCAAACAGGCAATCAAAATGGGGAGACATAAAAAAATAACCCCCAGCCCTGGCCGGTTTGGCTCAGTGGATAGAGTGTCGGCCTGCGGACTGAAGGGTCCTGGGCTCGATTCTGGTCAGGGGCATGTGCCTTGGTTGTGGGCACGTCCCCAGTGGCGGGTATGCAGGAGGCAGCTGATCGATGTTTCTCTTTCATTGATGTTTCTAACTCTCTATCCCTCTCCCTTCCTCTCTGTAAAAAAATCAATAAAATATATTTTAAAAAAATAACCCCCAGCCCTAGCCTATTTGGCTCAGTGAATAGGGCGTCAGCCTGTGGACCAAAGTGTCCCAGGTTCGATTCCAGTCGAGGGCACCAGCTCGGGTTTCGGGCTTGATCCCCAGTAGGGGGTGTGCAGGAGGCAGCCGAACCATGATTTTCTCTCATTTTTGATGTTTCAGTCTCTCTCTCCCTCTCCCTTCGTCTCTGAAATCAATAAAAATATATTTTAAAAAAATAAACCCAAAATGAAAGAACAAGAGAATTCTCCAGCAGAAGAGCTAAATGAAATAGAGTTAAGAAACTTATCTGATATAGAGTTCAGAATAATGATGGCAAAGATGCTCAACGGCATGAGAAAAGGTATAGTAACCATGAAAAAAGGCCAGTCGGAAATAAAGAATGACATAGCACTAAGAAAGAACACACTGGAAGAAATACACAGCAGACCAGGGGAAGCTGAGGACTGGATCAGTGACAGGGTAGAAAAAAATCAATCAGAGAAACAAAAAGAAAAAAAAAGCAATTAAAAAACAGGAGGACAACTTAAGGGAGCTGTGGGACAACATGATATGTAACAATATTCACATAATAGGAGTGCCAGAAGAAGAAGGAGAACAAAGGATAGAGAACATATTTGAAGAAATAATGACAGAAAACTTCCTTAACCTGGTGAAGGAAAAAGTTGCACAAGTCCAGGAAGCACAGAGTCCCAAGCAAGAAGAACCCAAACAGGCCCACGCCCAGACATATCATAATTAAAATGATAAAAATTAAAGACAAAGAGAGAATCTTAAAGGCAGCAAGAGAAAAGAAAACACAGAGAGACAGAGAGACAGACAGACATAGGTATACATAATTAAAATGGCAATAAGTACCTATCAATAATAACCTTAAATGTAAATGGATTAAATGCTCTAAACAAAAGATGTAGGGTAGCTGAATGTATACAAAAATGTGACCCAATTATATGCTGCCTTATAAAAGTCCCACCTCAGAACAAAAGACTCAGACAGGATGAGAGTGAAGGGATGGGGAAAAAATTCCCATGCAAATGGAAACGAAAGAAAAGATGGGGTAGAAATACTCATATCTGACAAAAAAAGACTTCAAAATGAAGGCCATCACAAGAGACAACAAGGTCACAACATAATACTAAACAGATTGCTCCAAAAAGAGAACATAACCCTGATAAACAAATGTACACCTAATATAGGAGCACCAAAATATATAGATAAATTTCTAGAGGGCTTCAAGGGAAAGATCGACAGCAATACAGTAATAGTAGGGGACTTTAACACCCTGCTGATTTCACTGCATAGATCTTCCAGACAAAAAATTAACAAGGAAACAGTGACTCTAAATGACATACTAGAGCAGATGGATTTAACTGACTTTTATGGAACATTTTACCCCAAAGCTGCTGAATATATTCTTCTCAAGTGCACATGGGTCATTCACAAAGATAGACCACATGTTAGGACACAAAACAAGTCTCTACAAGTTC